TACCTCAGCCACATTGGTCATTTTGCCTCAGGTGACCTCTGTATCTGTCGTTCTCAATTTCTGGACAGCTCTGCTCCAAATGTCCATGTAACTTTCTCTTTTACTTCTTTCAAGTATCACTTTCTTATTGAGACTTTCCCTGACCACGCCTCTAAAATTGCAACACTACTTCCCCATATATATATTCCTAACTCCGTTCTCTGCTTTACTATTGGGCTTATAACTTGCCATAAACACACTATATAATTTAGCGTATTCATTCTGATTACAAAAAAATATCCTCTACCAGAAGAAATTCTTTTTTATTTTTTAAAGATTTTATTTATTTATTCACGAGAGACACACAGAGAGAGACAGGCAGAGACACAGGTAGAGGGAGAAGCAGGCTCCAGGCAGGAAGCCTGACGCGGGACTCGATCCTGGGTGTCCAGGATCACCCCTTGGGCCAAAGGCGGCCCCAAACTGCTGAGCCACCCAGGGCTCACAGAAATTCTTTTTTATTCACTTTTGTACCCCAGCACCTTGAACAGTAACTGGTACAAAATAGGCTCTCAAAAAATACTAGTTGTATGAATGAAGGTAATCAGTGATATGAGGAGAGTTACTTCTTAGGTAGAAAAGAAAGTAGAAAGTGAATGAAATAAGTACTTCATACATGTTAATGCATAATAGATGTTGATTATTTAAGTTAATATTATAGGTTCATGTGTATGAGTTGAAAACAATTTTTAGGTGGGAACTGCAGGCGGGGAAGGAGAAATTCTAGTTAAAAGGGGTGATGTGGAAGTGCATGTTTTGCAAGTTAGCCTCAGGCAAGGTAAAGATAGCTATGGAAACACCTGGAGTTTAGCCCAGATTACCAGCTCCCAGGCCTGCTTAGCAAGTGAAGGCATGAAGGAGGAAGGGTTGGGAGGCAGGCTGGGATCTGTGTGAGTAGTGTATCATGGGGCCCGTAGGCAGTCTTCTGGATGGTTCAGGGTTAGACCTGTAGGCCCACAGACTGCTATGTGCTGATGTCCATCTGGAGTATCTCTAACAGTGTTCAGTTTCTTGGGCAAGAGTCAGAGTTTACATTATTTGTCTCTTTCTAGGGCTATGTGTGGATACCCTAAGGGAAGCAAATCACTGCAAGAGCAGGGAAAGGGATTGCCATACATGTTTGTATACTTTTTATTAGAATGATTTGGGGCAGCCAGGGTGGCTCAGTCAGTTAGGCACCTTTAGCTCGGGTTATGATCCCAGGGTCCTAGGATTGAGCCCTGCATTGGGCTCCCTGCTTGGTGGGGAGTCTGCTTCTCCCTCTCCCTCTGCCCCTAGCAACACCCCCTTCCCCCGCCCTTGTGTTCTCACATGCTCTGCTTTCTGTCTCTCAAATAAATAAAAAACCTTAAATATATATGCCTTGTGGTGGGTAACAGCACCAGAGTGTCTCTATTATGCTGCTTAACACATAGTGATGTTACGGGTTTTTTCACAGATTGGAGTGAAAATCAATTCACAAAACATATTTTAAAGTGAAAATGCAGTTTTTAAAAGGCACTCTAATTATTGAAGCTATAAAGGATATATAATTCTCAAAAGTCTTTGCTACCAGATGTAGCTATTTGATTAGCTGATATAGGCACAGTCCACGAATAAATTCCTTAATAATCCATATCACCTTTGCATTTTATAATACAAAGTTGATTTTCATAGATTGTTTCTAGACTTCACTAACTGACTTCCTCTGTTCCCCTTCAACAGTTCTGGGGACAGAGGCCCAGAGCCACTGTAACTTCTACTTTTCTCACTAACAGTGAACACAGTATAGGGAGGTACAGAGGAAGATATTGTTCTATATAACCACATATCATCATTTAATATTTTCCAAATCTTTTCCAGTTTCAGAGAGGAAATAATGGTAACCTCTATAACACCTGCATCGGCCTTTCTTTGCAATTTGTCATTGGTTTCCCATATGGAGTTTGAACTTCGCTTGCTATACTGGCACAGATGTGGCCATGAACCTCTTGTCTGGTTCTTAATTAAAGGGCTGGGTCTCTTTTCTTTCAAAGTGGTAACCGCAAACTCTGTACACTAGGGTGGAAAATATGGGTGTGTAGGTATGCATGTATGTTTAAATATGTATAAGGCTAAATATACATATGTTATGAGACAATAATCAGTAGAAAATGGCAAATCCTGAGAGAAAAGAAATGGAGAAAGGTATGAGAAAGGAAGGGAAGGCATTCATTAAGCTCTTACTATGAATCAGGCACCCAGGAAAGAAGGTAAAAGGGGGAAACAAAGATGGAGGGGTATGATCATCTGGATGTTAAAGAATGAACTTGCAAAAAGTCTCCTTCTTTAAAGGAAAACACTATGAAAACAGATGCTGGCAGTCATCAAGGAATGCTTGTCAAGTCATTCAGAGGAGAACAAAAGGCTGTAGGGCAGATTTGGCTTTGCCTCCTCTAGGTGCTAGGTTGCTGTCTCACCATGAGATGAGTTATCTTTGAAGTTCTGCTGAGCAGTCTAGGTAGCATGACTTAAAAGTGCAAGTCCCCAACCAGAGTTCAGTTCTCCAGAATACAAATGCTCAGGGAACCAGACAAGGTCAGAAAAAAACATCCCAAGACATCTCCCTTTAAGCCCCAGGGAATGCGGTAGTCTCCATAATGAAAAGGATCCTACATTGGAGTTTTCTATGTATTGGTGTCCTTTTTTCTTCCATTTTTCAAAACTGTGGGTCCTTAAAATATCTATAATAGCATCTTTGTGATTCCTCTGATGGTCAGAGGGGGAAGGGTGACCTTGCAGAATCTTTGGGTGGATGGGGGGTAGGGTCAGGTCCTGCTGAGCTTGGGACATGACAAAGAGAGAGAGGAAAATAATAACCATTTTAGAGAGCTTTACAGTAAATCTTCAAAAACTGTTTGGGAATTCTTTGCCAATTACAGGTTTTGCTCAGATGTCATTGTCTTTCTCTACTCCTAATGTCCCGATATCACATTAAATATCTTTAGCATTGTTGGGCTTATTATAGAAGATTCTCTGCCTCCATTTGTATTTTGGGTAGATTGCAATCATTTGGTCCAGTTCTTCATTATTCTCTATATCCATACTCCTTACCATATAACCTTGCAGTGCTCTCCCACTGTGGGCTAGTGACCTGCCCAGTCTCTTGACCTTGGGCTCAGGCATGTGATTTCTTTGGCCGACAGAATGTGATAATGTGATGCAAGCACAGGCTTGAATTGAACTTGCACATTAGGGCTTCCTCTTCTGCTAGGAGAATGACAGACAGATGGCAATGGCACATGCCCCAGCCAAGCCCACTCTAGGCTTAAATTGTGCAGACATGTGAGAAACGCTTATTTTCAGATGCCACTGAGGTTAGGTTGTATGGTTGTTTGTTACATAGCAAAAGGTAACTGATACAAATGCCATTTGATTCATGCTCCTCTTGTCTACCAGAGTGCTATTTCTAAAATGCAACTCCGATTATCCTAAAATTATTTTGCTTCAGACACTTCACTGACTTCTTATCATGGGCTGAATGGGGCATCCCCCAAATTCATATGTTGAAGTCCTAAGCCCTGATACCTCAGAAAGTGACTTTATTTAGAAATAGGGTCATTTAAAATATAATTAGTTGAGTTAAAATGAAGTTGTACTAGAGTAGAGTAAGCCTTTCATCTAGAATGACTGACGTCCTTATAAAATAGGGACATTTGGAGACAGACTCACTCATAGGGAGAACGCCGTATGAATATGGATGGTAGAGATTAGGATGATGTGTCTACAAGTTAAAGAATAGCAAAGATTGCCAGCAAACCACCGGAAGCTATGAGAGAGGATTAGAACAGATTATCCTTCACAGCCCTTCAGAAGGAACTAATCCTGCTGACACCTTGATCTTAGACTTCTACATTTCTCATGCAATGTGGCTTTCTGTTGGTTAAGCCACTCCCCATTACCTGTAGGACAAAGTCTAAACACTCCTTTGCAAGGTATGGAAGTCTTTTCCTAAGCTGGTCTCTGGTTCTATCTATGGTTTCAACTCTTACCCCATTCCCTAGCCACACAGAACTAGTTACAGTGCAGTTACAGTTACAGTTGATCAAAATCAACTGCTTAAGATATTTTTTGCCCATCTTCAACTTTGGCTTTAAATGCTCTTCATGCTACCTGCCCACCCTCCACTAGATCCCAAATGATTACCTGACTTCTATTTGTATTTCAAGCTTCAGATCAGACATCATCTCTAGAAATTTTCTTGCCACCTTCCCAATCCTAACTACAGAGGATGCCCTATTGAATGCTCCCCAAACATCCTATATAGATATTTCTATCACACTCTGTATCACACTGTGGATAATTAATTGTTCATTCCATATCCTCATCCTCATCAGCAGACTTGATAACGAACCTCTTAAAGACAAGGTCGTATCTTATGTCCTTTTATCCCTAGTATCTAGCATATGACCTGGCGCAGAGGGACTGTGCAGCACATGTTTGTGTAAGGAATCTACGAAGGTTCACGTACAAATATCCAAACACATGTGTTTTTGGCATATGGGAGATACATTTTGCTAGTGTGACAACTGGCAGCTGAGTTTACTTAGAAGCGAAAGCACCCAATTAAAGACCAAACATCGCTTCCTTATTCTTCTTCATTTCCTTCTCTCTCTATAACTACCCAATCTCACATGCTTGCTTTTAGATGTAAGTGACTGAATTATTACCAACTGTGGGCCTTTCATCTTCAAGACTGTCAGTCTATGTTCCACATTTCTCAGGAGGAAGAGACGATTATAACTATATTTTTGCTTACCAAGAGAATTGTTAATGGTTATCCTGGAGGAAAAAAAAAATCTATAAATATCCAACCTATAATGACGCCTTAAGCTTACTTTCTTCCTTTACTAATGAAATTCTTTCCGAGTGCATTGCAGAATTGCAACATAACCATTACACCGTGAAAAGAGACAAAGCCTGTAGTGAATTTTTTCTTTTACCTGTTTAGTCCTCATTTTGGAATCCAACGACAGATTGTTGTAGGTATAATGTGCCTGTGTGACTCCACAGAAGAGAACAGCAACTATGCCTGAAATTAAAAAACACACCAGTCAAAACCAATTTTCTCTCCCATCTAAGCCAAAGGATAGGGCCACATCAGCTAGAAGAAGGTGGACATGGTGTCAGTAGAGTTAAAGCTGCTAATAATTACCATAATTACCAGTCTCCATAATTAAAGGGATCCTGTAGTGGTGTATACCTTGTTCCTTGTTTTAAACACGGATCTTACAGAATTAACCTAAAGAAAAGTATTAAGAAGTACATTTTTTTTCCTGAGGATAAATGATTCCCTGGTCACAAGTTAGGAAAGTTATACTTGGGAAAAAATAAAAATTAAAAAAAAAAAAAACAAGGAAAGTTATACTTGGGGAAACAGAACAAAAGACCACATAGTCAACTAGGGGCTTTTCATAGCCAGTGCCAACAGCTTCTTTGCATTTTATCTCAAACATTGGCATATGGGAGTCCAACCATTAGCTTTCTGTATAGGGTCAACACTATCAGGATTTGCTTTTGTCAAAAATTTTTCACTGGGTACCCTGAAGCACCTGAAGAGGTTCCTGCCATACATAATTTTAGAGTCACAAATCTAAGAAATCTGTAAGGGTTTTGTTGCCCCTGCCAATACCTCTACTTGCTGAGCATGAGAGAAAGGTCTCTGTTTGCCCCCGTGCCTCCTTGACAAAGCTGGGTGTTCTATTTTCTGCTGAAGAATCTAATGAGCACATCCAAACCACACGCTCCTTGCAGGTAAGCTGGTTTGTGCTTGTGTGCTTCCCACCCACAGTGGGGCCTCAGCTGCTTCTAGGCTGGCTTTAGGATTGCTTTCGTAAGCCCTCAGTATACGGAGCTTCCAATGCAACAGGAAGCCATACATACACTAGATGTTCCCCGGGGACAGAGGAGTGGCAACCATGAGACAAATTTTATTTGTCTCTGGGCTGCTCTTCTCTGTTATCACCCCTGAGCTGGGGTAGGGAAGTGGTGGGTGTGCCATTCTACTTTGGATTAAAGATTCTATTAATTATGGGAAATTGAGATAGAGGAGGGCTTTGGGAAAAACACAAGATGTAAGTATTCCTCAAGTCAGACCAAGGGGATCAAATTGAATTTTAAGCAGCAGAATCTTTCCAACTAAAAACACTCATAAATTAAATGCTGATGATTCTTAAGAGTATAGACATATGTGAACTGAATACTGACATTGCAAATGAATCCACAATAAAGAATTTTAAAGAACCAAGCTTTTTTTCTTTTCTTTTTTTCTTTTTGTATTTAGACTGTATGCTTCCATTTATATGTTGGTTATTACTTGGATTAGCTTTGGATAAAATATTGCTAGGACATATTTACCTAATACAAGTGCATAGACATTTACATTACTTATTTCCTCTTAATATGCTTCAAAATTTTGGGCAAAAGAATAAAAACGACTAGGAAATTCTGCCAAGAAATATATATGCAGTAAGCATTTGATAGATTTTGGGGTAACTTTTCAGTTTCTTAGCCTCTCTTCAGAAGTTCTAAGAAAAGGATGCTTATAAAATATTATAAGGTACTCTTCACAAAAATCGTATTAAAAAACAACCAAGACCTGGGGAAACTTTTAGGGTACTGAAGAACTTTAAGGACTTTGAAGCACTAAAAAGATTGCCATGCATGTTTTTTTGTTGTCAAATATTTTTCTTTCCTTATTTATAAACGTAATTTATCTATCTCTGCTGATTCTTTAGTCTGTTAGAGATTTTTCCAGGTGAGGTTTAGCTGACCCTCCCACTGATGTGGAAACTTTTTGATTATATATTGATTTTCAGAGAAGTGGTGAATAAAAAGGGTGGGAGAGCATGCGGGTAGTGCATAAATGTTCTGAGAACAAGAAGTGGTAACAAAGAAGTGTTCTAAAGAATAGGGAGGGGATTTAAGACTGGTTGAATGCCTACGGTGGGCCAAGAATGGACTGTTGGCTTTTTAAACGTCATTTTATTTATTGCATTGATTTATTATCTCACAATAGGCTTAGCACTATTAATCGGCTCTTCCTACTGTCTTCCCCTTCTCAGTAATAGCGTCTCCATTCTTCTTGCTGCTCAGGCCAAAATTCTGGATCACCGTCTACTTTTCCTCTCTCTATACTTCAGTGATTTTGTTGGCTTGTCCTTTGGAACTTACCTGAACCCAGCCACTTCTCAACATTGCCTCCCCTAACAACCTTTTCCAAGCCGCCATCATTTTTTTTTTTCACCTAGATTACAGATTCCTGATTGGTCCCCCTGTGTCCTCTGTTAACCTCCTGCAGTCTAGCTTCCATCTAGTCATTAAGAAAATTGAGATCATGTCAGTCCTCTTCTTTAAATTTTGTAATAGATCTCCATAACTAAAAGGCCCTGTATGATCTAGTCCTGCCCCCTTCTCCTCTTCCCACAGGTCTCTAAGCTCATCTCCTACTATACTATACCTACCTCTTGCTATACACTATATCCTTACTAAGTAAGTACTTTCCACTGCAGGACCCTTGAGTTTCTGGTTCCCACTGTTTGGAAAGCTCTTCTTCAGACTTCTTCCTTTCTTTTTTTTTTTTTTTTTTTTTTTTAAGATTGTGTTTATTATTTGAGAGAGAGCATGAGAGAGAGAGAGAGAGAGAGAGAGCACAAGCAGGGGAGAGGCAGAGGGAGAGAGAGAAGCAGGCTCCTTGTTGAGCAGGGCTCTGTATGTGGGGCTCAATCCAAGGACCCTGAGATCATGACCTGAGCCCAAGGCAGACACTTAACCCACTGAGCCACCCAGATGCCCTGGAAAGTTCTTCAGATATCCACATGGCTCTCTTTTTCCCTTAAGATGCTATATATCAGACAGGTCTTCTGTATGCATTGATCCCTCCCATCATTCTCTACTTGTTAATCTTGCTTTGTTTTTTTTAAATATTATTTACTTCCATCTAACATTTTATAAGTTCATGTGTTTATTTTCTGCCTTCCAGCACTGCAAAGGAAAGCTCATTGAGGGCAGGGAGGATACATTGGTCCCTAAGCCTTTGAGCAAAGCCAGGCACATGATAGGCATTCAGGGAGTATTTGTTGAATAAATTAATGAATATTCCTATTCCCATTTAACAAGTAAGAAACAAAAATAATTTACTTAAGGTCACCTTGAAAGTGGCAGAGCTGAGATTCAAAATTCACAAACTTCCTGTGTTTTTCTGCCTGTAACAGACCATCTGTGAATTTTTTGAAGGTAATCTTAAACCATTTAAAAAATATCATTTCTGATGTCCCAGGGAAAATGAGATATGATGATGAAGATTACATATCTGAAGGGGCTGAGCATCTTGTTTCAGGATATATTCCCTAGTAGCTCCATTGGTTTTTGTTTCCTTGCCTCCATTAGAACACTAACAGGCAATGTTTTTGCTAATACTTTCTTTTTTTTTTTAGTTCTGTGTACAGATACATCACACAAACAATGAAAAGTATGCCTATATGACCAGAGGCTTGATGTTATAATTAAAATAAAACAACTGAGTTGATCTCACCTTTAGTATTAGCCTACATAATCGTAATTCTCTACCTTAGTTATTAATTAACTCACACAAATTACTGTGATTAGTATGACTTTTACAAGCCAAAACATATCTTAAATGTCTCATCTAAAGGCACCTATTATCTATAAATTCTCTGCCATCTAAGCATATTCAGAGTTGGAAGTTTTCTCTCTTACAAAATTGCATTTTAGCTGTCATTGTATTTTTGCATACCTATGCCTGCTGGCACTAGTTGTACTACTGTTATGTGAGGCCCTAGACAACCCTCTTACAGGCTCTGGATGTCGTTCTCCAGTGTAAAAGGGGGAGGAGGGGCACCAAGTTCTCTTTCTAGGAGTCAGCAAACCAGTGTCTCTGCTCAAACCTATCTTCTTGGGCTTGCCCTGTGATCTTGGGGCCGGGGCTCTGCAGACCACATCTCCCTTTGCCAGAACCTGTTGAGCTCTACCCATAGGAGCCCCAAAAGGAGGCTAGGATGCAGGAGTAGAGAAAAGGCCTTGCTGCCATCTTGCTTGCCTGCTGCTTCTTTCAGCGCATCTCAGCAACGGTTTTCACCATAGCTTTCACAGCTGGTTCCAGCCTCATGGGCCACCCTCAGAGAAAGCAGCAAGAGCCAGCTGGTGACCTCAGATGTCTGGGTCCCAGCTCCAGCAGTTCCCTCTTAGGAAATTCTAGATTCTCTTCCATTTGCTCCTCCTGTCCCAGGGTTTACATTTGCTTCCTACAGTCACTACCTGTATGGCCTCGGTGTCCCCTTTTAAATTTTTCAGCTCTCTGCCACCTGTATACCCAATCTCTTGCACTAAACTATGGGCACCGCCAGCTAGTTTCTCTTTTCCTGACTGATTCCTGACCAGGACTCACTAGTGGGTCCCTTTTCATTCTAAACATTGATGGTTCTCTGAAACCACTGAAGGTTTGTCATCCGGAGATAAGATCCACCCTGTAGTCTGTTACAATTGGACAATGGCGGATGCCAAAGGTAGCTGAGATGCTGTGCCAAGTCCCAGAGGACTGGACTTAAGTCTCCTTTCAATCCCACTTATGGTTAGAATTGACATTTTGAAAAGGTGTGAGTTTGAGTCACTAGATTAGATAGAACAAGAGGCTTGGGGGCAGTGACTAAGTTAGACCAAAAACTATTAAAAAGACATGGGTTACACCTGGATATGTGCCTTCTAATTCCCAATCAGCTGACCTTTCCAAAATATGAGCACTATCCTACAGTGGAGTGTGAGAAGTTCCCTATCACCTGAAATGTTTGGGTTGAACGACTGTCTGCCAGAGCTGCTGTGGGAAAAATTTCTCTTCATAAAGTAAGGGTGTGGATATCTTCCAATTCCCTGGGTCTGTCATTTTCCTATATACTTTTTTATTAATTCACTAGGATTAGTCTTTTTTTAGACTAATTTAGCCCAATTTAGTCTTTTTTTTTTTTTTTTTTTTTTTTTTTAGTTTAGGATAAGGAACTAATACTGGTTCCAAATGAA